TTTTCTTTATTTTCATGACTATTTACATTGTAGATTCTCACTGAAGGCATCAAAACTATGAATGAACACATGTGGAGTTATGTACTTAACAAAAAAAGGTGAAATAACTGAAAACATGTTTTATATTCTAGTTTCTTCAAAATAGCCACCCTTTGCTCTGATTACTGCTTTGCACACTCTTGGCATTCTCTCCATGAGCTTCAAGAGGTAGTCACCTGAAATGGTTTTCCAACAGTCTTGAAGGAGTTCCCAGAGGTGTTTAGCACTTGTTGGCCCCTTTGCCTTCACTCTGCGGTCCAGCTCACCCCAAACCATCTCGATTGGGTTCAGGTCCGGTGACTGTGGAGGCCAGGTCATCTGCCGCAGCACTCCATCACTCTCCTTCTTGGTCAAATAGCCCTTACACAACAATAGCCTGTTAAGTACATAACTCCACATGTGTTCATTCATAGTTTTGATGCCTTCAGTGAGAATCTACAATGTAAATAGTCATGAAAATAAAGAAAACGCATTGAATGAGAAGGTGTGTCCAAACTTTTGGCCTGTACTGTAACAATACTCTTTATCTAAGCATGAAGAACACAAACCAGTCAAAATCAGTCATTCGTTCCGCCTTTTTTCCCCCGTCTACTGAGAAGACTTCACTGTCTGCAGGTCGGCTACCTCAGCTACATTTTGTCTGCAGGTCGGCTGGCTCAGGTACATTTTTAGATACAGTGTTAGACTACATACAGACAATTTTAATTTTAGTTAGCCCCACTAGTGCGATGTGCTTGTGTAGACCGTGACTGTTAACCATAATAGCAATGAATGACAGCGTCCAAACTGATCACAGAAACACAAATCAGCACTCGACCGGACACGGCTAAAGGTTATAGAGGAAAAGGCCTGCAGTATTGTACAGGTGCCACTGCTGTAACTTCATTCATCTCACAGACTGATTTAGGGTAGCTTGTGCAACATATAGACACTGTAGACTAATTAACAGACATATTAAACAGAACAGCAGCTCTGTGTCTCTCTTAGTGTTGATGGAGAATCTGAGTGAGTGAGTGGGGTGGAGCTGTGTGGAGAGTATGAGAGAGGAAAGATAAACATTGGTATGCATTATGTGGCACAATTTGACCCTATATCGATATAAATAGTATTGTCTAAATGTATATCTTGCTTGAAAATATATCGATATATTGTGTAAAAAAAAAAAAAAAAAAAAAAAAAAAAACACATACCACCCAGCCCTAATCACTAAGGTCATGATTAATTTTGCCCAAGGCTATTTAATACCGGATCTCGGTACCAATCGCCGGGCCACAGGTTGCTTCGGGGCCACATGTGGCCTGCGGGCTGCCAATTGAATAGACCTGCTTTAGGTCATTAACGGGGGCGAGTTGAATGCTTTAATGTACAACATACATAACATGAGAACGTACATCTGTCCCATTCTTGTGAACCCGATATCTCAAGAACACCTCGAGGGAATTTCTTTAAATTTGGCAGAGATGTCCACATGGACTCAACGATGAACTGAATAGTTTTTGGTGGTCAAAGGTCAGCGTCACTGTGACCTTGTCTGTCTCACTCTTGTGAATGTCATATCTCAAGAACACCTTGAGGGAATTTCTTGAAATTTGAAACAAACATCCGCTTCGACTGAAGAATGAACTGATTAGAATTCTAGGTGGGGAGAGACTGCAGAATGGGTTGCATCTTCCACCAGTTAGGGCTTACATGGATGACATGACATGCCATGTACAAAAAGGCTACTAGAGAAGGTAAATAAGAACCTCAAGTGGGCCAGCATGAAGATCAAGCCGAGTAAATCTAGAAGCATCTCGATATGTAGAGGGAAGTTAAGTGATAGGAAGTTTGTCATAGATGAGGAAATCAAAAGTCAGTAAAGAGCTTAGGTAGGTGGTACAATGTAGAGCTGAATGATGAGGAACAGGTGGTGAAATTTAGAAAAGATGTGGCTGAAGGATTGGATAGAATAGATAAATCAGAACTTCCAGGAAAGTTGAAGTTGTGGTGTTTGCAATTTGGGCTATATCCTAGGTTAATGTGGCCATTGTCAATTTACGAAATTCCAGTATCCGTTGTGGAGAGAATTGAAAGGTCAGTTAGCTCCTATATTAGGAAGTGGTTGGGCGCTCCTAGATGCCTAAGTAGTGTTGCATTGTATGGAAAAGGGATACTTCAGCTGCCAGTATCTAGTTTAACAGAGGAATTTAAATGTACCAAGGTCAGGACAGAGCTCTTGTTATCTGGGAGTAAGGACGTGGTAGTTAGGAGTGTGGTTCCAAATCCAACCAAGGGGAGGAAGTGGAACCCAAGATCGGCAGTTCAGGAGGCAGAGGCAGCTCTTAG